TTATTATTATCAGACACTATTGTAAATTAGAAAATAAAATATTAATTTGCAATTAACAAGTAGTTTCCACTTGTACGAACCTCGCAGGTGCGTGCCGTCGATGCTAATAATCGGCGGGCAACGAAGGAAGGTTTGAATGGCGGGGCCGAACGCCCAGAAGACAAATCTGAATTCTCTGTCTCGAGATTGCTTCGCCATTTCTCCACCCTGCCATTCCCACTCAACGACTGTACCGGGATTCGCCCTTTGAAGGGCGGCGAAAAACCTGCAAATTATAAAAGGTAACCATAAATAAATAAATAAATAAATAAATATAGTTACAAACAACACGTAAATACGTTTATAATTAATTTTTACTTACTGAGGGAGTTGTGCGAAGTTCGATTCCCACGTGCCATGCAGACGATCAATGGCTTTTTTTCTCCCGTGCCATGCCTTCTTGTAGCTGACATCGACGCCCCAGGCACTTTTTACGTCGACCTGGACCATTTCCACACTGTAGGTCACCTGCTTCTGAATCTTAGCCAACAGAAGATTTGAGATCATGGTGGCGGTCACATTCTTGTGGTCATTTCTCTCGAACACCTGCATGCAAGTGTGGCTATCGGTCCATTCGGTTACCTCCCACTTGCCGTGATCCCGTTTGTTAAGACTCACCCGGGCCTTTCATATACATGGTACAACTTCATCTGATCTGCACACAACTTTAAACGACTTCTTGTTGGAATCTTTTGTCCGGACCGCCCTAAGCTTCTCAACATTCTAGGCATTAATACCAATCCGGGCTTCTTCCTTGGTAAGAAAAACTGTAGCCAAACGGATAGTCTCGACATGCCCATTCCAGGTTGGCAAGGCATACTCGTCCATGTCTACACACGATGAGTCCCACTCACCCATCTCGCGATAATCGTAGAGGCCTTCATTTGGAAAGGGGTGTTCTTCAATGAATTCTTGTTCGCTCTCCTCATTAATTGATATGTCCGATTCGGTTTCCGAGGTCTCATCCGTGAAATCGTCTTCACGGGAATGAAATCTTCATCTCCAACAATTTCTTCCTCAATGTCCGGTCCTCTCATGGTAAAGCTCGTTCCTTCGCCAAAATTACTCGTCCCTTCGCCGAAATTCTTCGTCCCTTCACCAAAATTACCGGCATGCGTAGTCCACGTATCCTCACCACCAAACATTCCCTCGTAACCATATGATGGCGTAGGATCCTCAACCTGTGTAACCTGTGTGTTTGCTTCGAACACTATATGCAAAAACACATAGGACATAGGAGCAGAGTAGTAAATCCACGAAAGAGAATTATCATTATGCAGTCTTCCGGTAATAAACGAACCATCTTGTTGTCTCGCCATCAAAGTAATATCCGAAATTGTCCAACTATCACGAAACCCACCATTTTTGTAAATCATATCTACCAATTGTTCATATGATATTATTCCATTAATAACAAATGAACAATCCGGACGAGACATATAATTCGAAAAATTCCATAACTCACTTTGGGGAATTTTCCAGTACACATTAACAAAGTATGGACCGTTAGACAACATTTATAACCTATTGCACAAAAAAAAATTATATTTTACAAATTACAACAACATAAAATGGCTAATCAAACACCACGAGAAAATTTCAATTATTATTTTACCAATCTACATTTAAAACTCATTTCCAACAACAACATATAATTAATTATATTTTTACTCCAACAAAATAAAATTGTCAATTAATTTATAAAAAACACCACAAAAACCCTAATCACCAATCTACATTTAAAATGGCTAATCAAACACACGAGAAAAATTCAATTATTATTTTACCAATCTACATTTAAAACTCATTTCCAACAACAACATATAATTAATTATATTTTTACTCCAACAAAAAAAAAAATTATCAATTAATTTTGTAAACACCAGTCGGTTGGACTGGTAGGATCGATAAGATTTTATAAATAAATTTTGTTATATTTAAAATTATTTTAAATAAAATTACATATTTAAATAAAATAGAGATTTATAAATTATTTATCAATTAGTTTAAACATTTGAATTTATAACTTATTTAGATATCTAAGTAACACATTTTATTTAAATTTATTACAAAAAGTACTATATATATATATATATATATATATGTATATTAGAATATTTATAAATTAAAATCTGAACAAACCACAAATAAGTTAATAAAATAGCTTGATCGCTTCGATGACGGTCCAGTTTTGAACACCTTATATTTACTGTACATTAATAAATATTATAATAAAACATTATATAATTCACATAAATATTAATAAAATGATATATAAATATTCATAAATCATTAAAGATAATGTCATAAAAGTATTGTTAATACGATTATTTGAAGTTTGGACTATATCGCATCCACATAATAACATATTTTCAATATAAAATTTATATTTAGGTTCAATAATCAATCTAGTGTGTTGAACTGATACATAACTTAGTCCCCTGGAACCAACCAAGTTGTGTTAAATTTTATGACTATTTTAAATATCACCTAAAAGTAATTCAATTAACTTGGGCAGTACCCTAATTCAATCACCCGATTGATCCGAAGAAAATTTCTTATTTTATTTAAATATATTTAATTTTTTGAAATAAAAATATTTTATGATTCATATGATAAATGTCTACACCAAATGATAGTATATTAAGTTTATAAATTATATATCTATAGATGAATTAATTATTTTTACTTTATGCATATTAATAAAAAATAAACACAGTAATTTCAAAAAATTAAGAGTAATTGATTGATTATGCAATTAAAGAATATTTTTTGCTATCAATATATTTTTAAAGTCGCAAATATAAAGACCGAGATTCTAAAACTTTTGTTATATTTTAGCCAGATTTTTTAAATAATAAAATAAATTAAAGCCCGAAATTTAATGTAGCATTTAATGTTGTATGATTTTTTAAGAAAAAAAATAAGAAATTAATAAAACTTACTATTTATAGGCTGCATTAAATTCTGANGCGCCCGTTGTTTGATGCTATGTATATATAGAATCGCAATAATGACTAGTTTCTATGAAATAAACATTGAGGATTATATTCACGAATATACTAATACGGGCAACAAAAATTCTATGGAGCCACGAATGGTTTTCTTATAAAGTTATCCACCATTTAATGTATTGACATCTGTCCAAAATGTATTTATTGCATGACACGTGTCAATAAGAAAACTATCCGATGGCTCCATAGAATTTTTGATTAAAACATATACAACATTAAATATGTTAATTGCCTTATTGTAATGCTAACAAACTTAAGACAAATATTACCCTCACTAATAAAAATATAAAATAAAGAACCTTAAACATGACATATCTACATTAGTATTCTCAAATCAAGAATTAAAAACCGTAACACTAATTCAACAACTTCAAATAGCCTTGCAATTAAAATCAATTTTTATTAAGGCCAACACACGAAAGAGGCAACCGATAAAGGGTACGAGTACGTGTTGGAATACACAAACTGAATTGTTTTCCCACTCGCCATCGGCCTCCCTCCATAGACGACACAATCATCATACCCCACGCGCTCAAAAAGGTTTGGGGGGACGAGTGTGGCAGACGCAAACCATTGGCAGTGAAAACGGACTTTTGCCACCCAACAGTCTGTACACAAATTCGTAATTATCACAGTATACCTTGGAATCCCATGTAATGAGACCACGCCTTGACTCACTTGTATGCGTACGTGCGGGCACAAAGTTTTCCATTTCGTATGTCCCCCATTTGGTTCTACGTGCGTCTGGTTCATGAATGTGTTTTGTGAAAGAAGCTTTGAATCAATGGCATTAGCGAATAATGGTGCCAAACATATGAAGAGAATTGTGATAACAATTGTGTAACGAGGTGCTTTCGTCATTTGGTTATAAAGAGGACTTGAAAGCACTCAACCTTTTTTTATTTTTATTTTTATTTTTTATTTTTATTTTTTGGGTGTGAAATGAAATAAGAGACAACTTCCCCATAAAGAGAGGAAAGTTTCGAATATTAATTGGAAGCATTAATTGTTAGCTATTTATTTGTATTTATTAGTTGGTTATGAATGAGTATTTAGTTTTCTATAAATGTATGGAGAATGCTACGGGATGGTTCCGTTGTGTTTTTAACCATTGGATTAATTACCTATCACTAGATTACATGTATATCTATGGCTAGAAAACACAACGGAACAATCCCGTAACGGGGATGGTAGCATTCTCCTAAATGTATAGTAGTAGTTATAGTTATACAGTAGGAAATGGTCCAATCAAATCTCCTTCAATTTGATTAGTTAAATTTGGGATTGCTAGTATCAGTTTTGCTATGGAGCCATCGGATTGTTCGGCAATAGTGTATTATACACTATTGGTGAATAAGTGTGGATGACTCCATAAGCCGAACAATCCGATGGTTCCATAGCACTATTGGTGAATAAGTGTGGATGGCTTCATAAGTCGAACAATCCGATGGCTCCATAGCAAAACTGATATTTTAATATATACTAGTTATCAACCTGTACATTTACATGAAAAGCGATTAATTAAGGGAGTGAGTAAAAAAAAACAAATAAAAAAAGTAAAAATCATATCGTATTCAATAAAAAAAATATAATTTAAGAAAGTAAATCTAAATATTATTAAATATTTTTTTATATATAATATTCGTGGTTTTCTTATCGTTAGAATCACCATCACCAAATAATTTTAAAACACGGTATGAGTGGAAAAAATGTAACACTTCTGAAAAAAAAAATCGATATTAGAATTAGGAAACAAATTCATTGTGAACAATTTGGTGTTGCAACATCATCTATCCTTTAGACGTTTGTTTCCAATTATGTTGTGGCCGATCAGCCTCTTCATGATATTGGGGTTTGTATGAAAAAAAAAATAAAAAAAAATGAAGATAATGGTAGAGTAGATAAAAAATAATGTTGCTAGAAATATTTGATGAAGTTTTAAAATAATATAATGTGAGTTTAAGAAACAACAAGGTGAAGAAAATTTTGGGGGTTTATATAGAAAAGTAAATGACCAAGTGCGTGGCTTAACAATCGAAACACAATAAACAAACAAATAATTGGTATATGGTCCATAGCCAAAATTACAAATACGGCAATAGATATTTGACATCCATTACCTAATTAATGTTGTATATATATATATTAAATACTGATGAAACTTGATCCTGCACGAAGAAGAAGAGGCGCTTCCAAATCAATTGTGCCCTCTGAAGTATGAGTGGACGGTGTCGTTTCATCATTTCCCTTGTCTATTTGGCCAACTGTTTTCTCATTCCTTGCGTCTTCATAGTCCTTTGCCTTACCCCACAGCACAATGTAAAGTCCAATTATCACAGCAACTCCCCCCAACAAGCTGCAATTAATGTTTAAATTGAAATAATACAACATTTTGAAAACAATGAACGATCCAATTCCAATTAGCTGTTATTTTCAACATTAATCTGAATAATATTCAAACTGAATAACTTGTTATACCTTCCAACGTACAACATCTCGTGCAGAAAAGTACAAGCAACAATAGCGACAATTACGGTGGTTAGAGGGTGGAACATGGCTGAAAAGAGGGGACCTCTCCTTGGGAGGCACCATGCTTGAGCAAAGAAAGTAACTGCTGATGCCCCACCCTGCATTCATTCCCAATTATATGTGTATGTGTGTTTGTTTTATCAACTTTTTGGTGACATCTATATATATATATTGAAAGACATTATTTAATTCAAAAATAGAAAACTGATTTTTTTTATTTTTTTTTATATCTCATATATTCATAGTTGTTTTCTTAGGCCAAAAACATAAAATAAATCATATATGGTAACCTTAACAACAACAATAATTAATTGCTCACGGCATAAAAGACGGAGATCCATGGCACCGGTGAATTGAATATCCAGGCACTCGTATCGGGTTCGAGTATCAATGCTACCACTGCCGATTGTAAGGCGGCCATTAAGAACATTAGTGTTGTTACCAAAAGATGATCCGGGTATCGAGCACTTACATGGGCCTGGCAAATATAATAACACATGTATATAAAGTTTTATTAAAAAATATTATATTTTATTTCTCCTTGGCAATTGCTAGTTGAAGGAAAAAAAAAAAAGACAAATTCGTCGAGTAACTTTTGCAGTTGAAAATTTTCAATTAACTAGTAAATACCAAGCACAATATGCCAAATCAATTTTGTAAAATAAATAAATAAATAATTATATCTTTCAACTCAGAGTTTGTATTCATTAACAAAATAAATAAATAAATAAAATAAACAGTAAATTTTGGTACTAGACTAAACGTAGACAATAAATTTCCAATAGTGTTGGAATTAAATAAATGCAAGGAAATTAGTGTGCACCTGCAGAATTAGCCAAACTGACCAGCAACAGGGGCTTGCCAGCAGAAATACACAACCTAAAAGCCACGTGTCGTGTCCATTATTATTAACATTCAGTAATTTTGGACCTTTAAAAAGTGCCATTACCGCTGCCCCACAAACACACACTACTGTCCCGATTATCTTAGCCACACTTCTCAGGCTTCGGAGATTCACTTTCTCCAATCTGTATTGATTAATTTATTTATATTAATTAGTAGATATGATGAAGAAGCTTCGTGAACATATAAATAATAATAAATAAAAAAATTAACTGTCACCGTTGAACAAAGGATTTAAGTGACATCGTTCACAATATTTATGTAATTAATTGCGGTAAATACTATTTAAATTAATTGTTAATTTAAGTACCCCAAGGTATAGGCCATGATAAAAGTGATGGCTGGCATCAAATTGCCCAAAGTACTTCCAACTGTTGAATTAGCCAACGCCAAGCCTTCGTAATACAAGTTCTGATTTAGTGTTATACTGCCCACAACAAAACAAAATTAATGTTACTAACTGTTATTGAAAGAAATAAAATCATATACTATATAGTTGTCAAGTAGATTTATTAATTATACAGAACTTGCCCAATAAAAGAGACAAGGAAAATCAGCCACAAGCTTTTCCATTCCAGACAATGTTCTTTCCTTCCTCTCCTGCTCCAAAAAACACAGATTTCTCGTCAAATTAATGAAAAATAAATTGTTATCAATTAATTAAATAAAAATGATACCTTGAGAAATATGCAATTGGTGACATAATCAAGAACGCTATGCACTGCCTGTAGACAACAAAAACTCGAGTGCTCATCCCTTGCAAAATCCCAGCTCTTCCAAATAGAGTCACTCCAGCGTACACAAACTGACATCCCAATAATACTACTATGGGCTTGTAGTTTTCCAAACCCATTTTCTAATATAAAAAATATTGCTTCAACTTATTGTCTATCTAATAAAGGCTGAGATGTTTATTTTATAGGCCCTTGCCATCAGGGGAAGACCAATAATATATGGGCACGTGCGCCAAAAATGAAATAATTAGACTAATATTATTGGTTTTATATGGTTTCTATTTTTATTTTTAAAATTTTATATGCAATTATACTAAACTCGCTCACTTGTGTACTACTTTAATTTTTTTCAAACAATAATATATAGTTTGAGAAATACGTACTTGAAAAATACGTAATGAAAATGATATAATTAATAAATGCTAGGGAAGAAAATAAATTATTGAAGCACATTGCAAATCACACAAAAATGAATAATTGAACTACCTAATTGCACATGACACCTTTTGAAATAAATATTTAAGGTAGGTGGATAAAAAAAGAGTTGAGTATGGTCATGTTTAGACATGGCCAAAACCCGGGCCGGGTCACGACCCGGCCCGGCCCGCCGGGTCGACGGGCTCAAAAACACTAACCCTGAACCGGCACGGACCTATACTCGTGTCGGGTCCGTATCTGGGCCAGGTCGTGTCCGGGCCGTGCCGGGTCCGTGCTTTTTTTAAAAAAGAGTATAAACAAATAACAAAAAAATTAAAAAGAAGGGTCATCGACCCGGCCCGGCCTTGACCCTCCGGGCCGAGTCATGAAACGAATGACCCTTACACGGCCCTTCTGAAATCCCGGCCGGTCTCGGACCCGTGGTCAACGGGTTTGACCGAGCCGGGTCGGCGGGCCGGGCGACCCTTTGTCCATGTCTAGTCATGTTGGAGATACATTTTTTTCCAAATAATTTGGGGATTGACAAACGTCCACCACAGAAAATTGAAAAATAGTTGAGTATGGTCATGTTGGGGATGTAGTTCAGTTTTCGCTATTGTGCCATGTTGTACTTCTTATTCTACACTAGTTATTTAAATATATGTTTTTAAACATCATGGTCTATCACAAATTGTTTTAATCTTATTTCAATCTATCTTAGTAATTTTGTCGTTATTTAATGTTATTGTTTTCTTTTCTTTTCTGTTATAATATCTTTTTATAGTCATTTTCATAATTATTTCTACTAGTAAAATAAAAATATCATAAATAATATGAAATTTTTACACTATTATTGTAAGCAATGTAAAATTAAATGATAATGTAATATTCATTATTTAAATATCATATTATCTAATTGTCATAAAATTAAGATTTCTTTTCCGTGTTTTATAATTAAATATATTAATAAAACACAAATTAAGAAACTTTTATTCTCATTTTGTCAATTTATAAAAAAAATGGAACAAAATATCAAAATAAAAATGTTGAAATGCAAAATTTGCCTCGAACCGCATTTTTACGTTCATCGGAATTCGGAGGAAAGAAGTAGAACAATGGAATTTTCCATTCATTTTGTCGGAAGGTTGGAAAAGGTCCAATATTAAAAAATTTTGGGGCCCTTTGCATATGATAATTGTCCTTCCTACAATAATGGAGTGAATTGACAACTTTTATGTCTTTTTTTTAAATAGCACATGCTCATTGTAATCTCGTAGCGTTAGTTTGAAACCGTTAAATGCCACACAAAG